AGCTGAAAGTCCTGAAAATATAACTCAAGAGACAAATAAAAAGAATGCCAGAAGTATTCAGCAATTTAAATGCCTTTTAATCTTTTATATTTTATGCTATTTTCTAGGAGAGAGGTGGTTTCTCCAATATCTGTTGTAAACAGAAGTTCTGCTCTAAAAAAAGCATATAAATATTTACAAATAATGAATCCAATGGCATTTCATGATGCAAGTCTCTCACCAGAACACCATGAAATCTTGAAAGACTCAGGAAACACAAAAAAGAAAATCCAAAAAAAGATAGAGTGCTTTCATTTAGTAATGCATTAAAGTTACGTGCATGGATATCATCTCATATCATCAGCCTTTTCCTCCTTTGCTGCTAAGTCATCACTTGCACTAACCTCTTACCGCTTGCTCTGCTCCCGATTGTTCGGACAGTATTCTGTTAAGATAGACTTCACATAATATTAAGTGGAATTTAAAAGCAAATAGTAGTCTCAATCTAACTAGATCCCAATTCTATTTTATAATGTAAAATACAGATTTTAACAAAAGCTTCTTCCTCTCATCTTTCTGACTTTTGGTCCACACATTCCTTGCATGCGTATCTCTTTGCCTTGACTTCTGCCTTCACAAGTGCCCCTGCCTCCTTTTCCCTCCCCATCAATGCCTTGGCCCCACATTCTCACAGCAGCACTCCAGATATTCACTACATCTGAAACATGGGGAGCTGCGTAGGGAAAAGCTGCTATTGAAAGGTTGCTTTCTTTTTTACATGGTTTTTAGTCAGATCTTACATGAGCTTTTTTAAATCAAAGAGGATAAGGCTGGCAAATACTAACGGTAGCACACAACCCAGATTTTCTTCTGAAAGCATCTTGTGGTAGTTGCAAGTTTATATTACATTTACTTAGAACTGTAATTGCCTTTGGAAATTAGATTTTTCTGCTTGTTTAAAAGATTGATGATGAGAAACAATAAAATTTGGAAGTTAACTCAGTAACTGCTGACCAGATGAGCATAGCAAAATTTAGCAGCAGAGATGGAAATGTACTATCAAATAATCTAGGTCATTTCTTTGATTACAGACTTTGAAATCTCACAGAGCATACGTGATCAGAGTGCCTCTAAATGACACCAACAACAACATTTATGAACTCTTCCCCACTTCATTTTTGTATTTTTATCCTTCTTGCCCACAAGCACTTCTAAATAAATCCTCCTTATTGGTATTTTCAGTTCCTATTTAGTCAGGCCCCAAGTATTTTGACTCTTCTTTCCCTGATTTCAGCAACACAACAGTGTTTCCATCATATTTTCTCCAAGACGATTCTATCTACCAAGGTTTCTTTTTGGCCATAGTCCACTGTTAGAGTAACCTAAGCAGGTCTAATGCCAAAAAGTGTCCATGAGCAGTTTTCTTTTTTGATACAGTCAGCACGTGAACTTTCAGGTCCTGAAGTATTGGAACAATGAGCAAAAGAGCCCCTGGGACAGAATGAACCTTGCTTGCAGGCAAGAACAGGAATCAAAGGAAGGAGGGCCAAATTTCAAAGGATAGTGACAAGTGTTTAAAACAAATTACTATCTTCTGTTACTGCTTGCTTGGAGTGCATCTTTCTCCTCTTCCTGGTTTCTCACTGCATCTTTTTCTTCTGTACTGCAGCACCCATATGATGCTTACAGACTGTGCTGACGACAGGGATGTCACTCATTTCTGCAGTAGCCCTTGTGCATGAAGGCTACCAGCTCCTTTGGAAAGAGTATTAATGCACTTCAAAGCCTTTTTAAGTTTTGCCAACCAGCCCTCCAGTAGTAACTCCAAACAAGACCTGCACTACTTCCAGATGTGATCAGACCAAAGAAAATGCAGCTCTGACTTTTTAACTCACAGAGCAGTACTTAACTGGTAACGCACGCTTACTTTCACTGGATATCAATGTGCCACATGAGAAGATAAAAGACAGGAGGCCCCAACAGCGCAATAGTGCTACCCGTAACACCCCATAAGCAGCCCGGGGCTCAGGAATATGAATTGAAGCATACAGAAAGATGAGAGATAGCCCAAATCCTAAGACCAAGATACATCTTAATTATAAATGTCTACACATGACATAACCACCCATCAGCTAGGCGTCAGGTATCCATTACAATCAGTGGGGGTCTACTCAATACTGCTTGCATAATTTAGGGTACAGTTCACCTTAACAAGCAGAGGGTGAGGCAAATCATACCCCAAACACCTACTTGCAGTAATGATTGCACCTGCATTATGTAATTTAAGCACAGATGTCTTCCAGAACAGCATGGCAACATGGAACATTTTGGATTCAAAAATAACATGCCACACAATTTCATAAATATCAGCCCCCAAAAGGTTAACTCTGAAGGTAGAGGAAAATAAGACATGTCTCATTGAGACCATCTGCTTTAGCAATCAAAGTAGTTAGAGTCAGTTTGCTTGCAGAAGTCCATAGAGAATATCACAAACAAATTGGATTCAAAACAAATCAGTTTATTTTGTTCTGCATGGCCAAAATTCATCTCACTTAGCTTTAAGTATGTAAGTAAAGAGAACAGTCAGTTCTAGGCTTTTCTCCGTAAACAAAACAAATTTTGCTCCAAAGGGACCCTCACTATCATATAAGGTCTGATTTGTCCTTTAGATACACATACCTCTCACCAGTGATTATAAACAAAGGCAGGATACTGTGAACACTCTGGTGGCTTTTGAGTTTCAAATAGACCTAACTGAAACTCAGTAAAGAAAGCATGAACTATCTGAGTTTGTACACAAAGGGCTTCTCTCTCCACCATTCTGTCTACCTTACACCCCCTAAAGAACTGCAAGAATGACAGCTGTGACAAACAATGAAACAATTGACAGCAGAAATTACTGTGGCCTTGTTATTGAAGACCCTTATTTCTTCCTCATGGGTATCAAAAATAAATTGCACCTCAGGTTTCTTAATACAAGCAGGAAAACTTTTTTCCCTTTTTTGTATGACTCAACTAACACCAACACTGAACTGCATGATATGCAGACAGACTGTGTTCTGCATTTCAGGGAGTCCAGTGTAGTGTTTTTCTCACTCATTACTGGCAATCAAGTCATCTGAAAGGAAATTAGAGATGAAGAGCTAAACATTCATTTGCAGAGAGGAGAGAGGGAAACAAAAGGAGAAAGTCTTGGCCCAGATTTTGCATATGGTTTCTCAACATAAGAAACATATAATTGATGCATAATACATCACTAACAACCAACAATAAATTAAGCTTAGAAAGCCAACAACCAATAGAAATTAACTTTGTCCGAAACCAATAAAAAACAAACAAACCTCACAGATGTACATTTGCCTAATGTAGAATATCACACTATTGAACAACGTGTGAGGCATGGTATCCTAGAAGATAGCAGTGTATTTTGACATAACTTTATTATGAAGGGCTGATAATAGTATCACCTGAGGAACACCAGCATGCAGAGATGAATCAGATGGAATAAGCACGCTCCCCTCCATTGGTACAACAGAACTCACAAGACTTATTCTACAGTGACAATAATGAAACAGTAGTAGGCAAACGAATGAAAAAATCCTTAAGCAGGAATGCTGTGAGATGGAAAGAAAGTGAGACATATTCAAATAAAAATAAATTCCATTTCCAAGAATAGATAAGCATACTCTCTGCAGAAGGACAGCTTTAATGCCCTAATTGTAGATCACGCAAACAGAAAGTTCCTTCCTATCCCAGATCGGCCTCCATCTATTGGTGTTGGACCTCTTAGTAAACAAGTTCCAGAAGACAATCTGACTAACCAGCTACTGCTGCTTCCGAATTAGCAGTCAAAGTGTGTTCATAACACATTCAAAACAAACAAGCCTACACATTACCCAGAAAATTTTCCCATGTTAACAATTCCAGATTCCAAACCAAATATGCAGCACCCAAACCAAAATTGTGGTTATCAAAAAGTAACACTTCAAACAACTTATGCTCAGTATGAAAAAAACTATTTTCTCATAGTCTGAAAGTCATCAAGATTGCAGTCAAGCAGAAATCAGTATAATGTACACCCAACACATTTTAGTTATCTACGCCTATTTTCCAAGATGTAGAAGTGAGTGAAAAAAATATTTTCTACCCAGGATTGTATTACATAAACTAACACTGTAGCTCCCATGTTGCCAGAATGGTAACTTATTTGAGCCACGCAAGAGACATTTTATTTTTTGTCAGAACTACACAGCACTTTCTTTCATATGATTCATACAAAATATTTTGCTGGCTAAATAAAAAATATTTACAAGATTTCATCAAATTACACAGCACAAATATCATAGACAATACATAAGCCTACCCTAGAGGCAAACAATATCTTAACAAATAGGTTGTTCTCCTTCAGCTTTAATACTACCTCCAAAGTAACTCAGAATAAGACATTCCATCACAGTGAAAAAAGCGTTTTTGACATCATTCACTGGTGTTATTTTATTTTTGCCTGAGTCACTAGCATTTCTCTTTTAATTTAAGCAATGCAATAGGAAGTAACAACACCTACCTGCAGAGAATCAAACTATAAATTGTGTAACAAAAACAAAACAAAATAAAAAAAAAAAAAATCTGTGAGAAGATTGCTGCATAGCAGACATTTCATACGTACTATGGTAAAGCTGGGAAGGTACATAGAATCACTTCAGCTACATTCAGTAAGATCGGACAGTACCCAAATAAAATTGCATCACAACTTTTCACAAGGAATGATACCTTCCAATTTACAAAATTGTAAATCCTCTACCAAGTATTTCAAACTAACCAGTATAAATGTTTCCACTGAACAGAACAATACTACCAAGCCTTCAAATGCTACAGTTTGAAACTATAAAAATCCTGAAAAATTATCATGGATGTGTACCCAAGCAGACAGGAATCTATTTCTGACTTCAGAAAGGGCAGGGATCCCCCCACAAGCCAAAGGCCAGCTAGGAGCAGGCTTCTGTAAGCAGCTCCACTCTTACCTTCCTGTAGACGATCATGTTTGGGGAGCTCTCCTCAGGATCTGCAGCTTCCACACTGCTGGGGTCAGCGGGCGGTTGGGCCATGTTTGCCTCTCGTCACTGGGCCTGTGGAGACAGGAGAAGTCAGTGGGCTGCTGTGGCTGAAATGCTGAGTTACAGTCTGAACCAGAGATTGAGTATCTGGAGGGAAGGCAGCGCCAACCCAGGGGAGCTCAGCTGCATGCAATGCACCTGAGTGACTGGAAGGAGTAGAGCCTTCCCATCCTAGACCTCATTTAAGGGTTAGAGTAGAGGCAACGGTATCTTGCTGGGGATCCCTGCCTACTGGAGGCCTTCCAGAAGCAAGCAGTTTTTCTTCATTTCTGCATCCATGGCTGCTGCACTTGGGCTTGTTCTCATTTGCTGTAAGCTAGGATTGTGCCACCCTGCTACTATCACTACACTTTCCATCATGTTATAGTATTACAGCTGCAGGAAACATGGAGAGGACAGGTGACAGCCTCCTTAACAGATAGAGGAGGACAATACAGGGAGAAAAGTTCTGAACAATAGGCTGGGGCAAGGTGGGGCTGTGAGGGCTGAGCCCCTGGAGGAAGATTGGTAGAACAGCAACAATGCCATCTGTCAGGCCTCCACATGCCAGGGTAAGGGCAGAGGGGAGACTGCTCTTCTCTCCTCATCATACAGTGAGCAAATAGCAGCAAGAAGCATGTTAGCCATCAGTTGTAACGCACCCTAGTCTCACTCAACTGTCCTCTAAACACATGAGGAAAGTGATGCCTCATCTCCTTAAGATCATGCCAAGCTCCAGTCAAAAACATTAGGTTTTTTAAAAAAGTAAGATCATGGTGCAAGGAAGACTCTGAATTCTACGTCAAAAGCTATTTCTTAAAATTTTCTCCTACTAGCAGGTTTGACAGGTTACACCTTAGAGGAGATGCATGATGGTCCTCACTAGCCCAAAAGGTAGCACTGCCTCTGGCAGTCACCAGCACTACAGCTGCTTCACAAGCACAACTGCTTTAACACTAAAAGAACTGCTGCCAACATTTCATTAAAATTTGAGACCAAAATATGCTGAAATGATGTAAACAGATACACAATCTACAGATTCAGTACTATGAGAGCAGTTCACCACCAAAACACATCCATCATGTGAGACTTACCTTCTCACAGTCCCACAGACAACAAAATGCCCCAGCACCTCATACACATATATAGCATACTACTATACCTATGATATAACCCCAAACCATTCCACTTGTCAGTTATCAGCTCCTACATGCAAGTCAATTGCCACAAGTGGACAAGTTCAGACCAATTCCCAGCTCTGCCTCATTTCAGCGGTGAAAAGGCTAATGTGGTAGCACTGCATCCTGCACTAGAAAGGGAAGCACTCTCTCCACGATGATGATGTAACAGATATCAAGTACAAATAACCTATGTTAATTCAGATACCTTTATTTCTTTCATTAAGTATGTACATACACAAATGAAATGGGCAGAAATGCATATATACATGCACATACCAATTTAAATTCAATAATCCAGTTCTAACTTCAATCAAACTATATATAATCACATTTCAAACCTGCTCAGGCCACTTTAGAGGTTATTTTAAAGTTAATTGATATCCTTTAAATATTACATTAAAGTTTTTCTAAATCATACTCAACTCCCATTCTGCTCTTTCTAGAAGCACAAGCATTTCACTGTTGTGCCAGACCATGAGCTAAAAAGGAAATGGAATAAACCTCTAAGCATAATGACTAGATTAAAAAAGAATAATAATAGTAATAATAAATAGCACACTGAAGGGTAAAGCATTTTAAAATTATAGCACTTTGAATGATTTACACTATTGTGCTTTTTCACAATGCTTCTTAGTTTTGATTTCAAGGCGTGAAACTAGTGGGATCCATGTATCATCAGTCAATTTAACAAAGCAGACGCACAGCGGAGATTTTATGCAACTTCCCAAAGGCAATGACAAGCTGAAGTAGAATTGAGAGCATACATCACATCACCCAAGTTTCAGCTTCCTCTGCAGTATATGAAGATCATCTTCACTCCTTACATTATGTCTGAGATAGTATACACATACTTAAAAAAGAAACAACGGGAATCAACTTTTAATTGAGTAATACTCTTTAAAGAATAATTTTACGGTTTCTAGTCAAAAAGCCCACTGCAGCAATATTTAGTTGTGCTTCATTCTTTGCACCATTCACTCTGAATGCCCACAGTTACAAACCACGGTTCTGTAGTTAGATTGTCAGCTGACTTCATCTTTTTGGGTACTTCAGTATTTCCCAATACAGCACATCTACTCCAATGCTGTGCAACAAAAAAAATAATCTCACAGAACACACAGCAGTGGCTGTCGCACTGTTCACAGTGACATCAAGGGAACACTAACTACCTCTGAATACCTACAAAAAGTATTCAATACAAATGAACCTGTTGTCAGAAGACAGAAATTTGGGAATGATCCTCCCACCACACCAACCATCTCTCGTTGACCTTTACTCAGCTCAGTTCTTATTCTAACCTGAGATTAAGTTGGGTGAAAGCATCTCAAAAATGACAAGGTGTCCTTCCTTGGTTGCCAAGTCCAACTCAGTAATAACTATGTTATTGCAGAAGATCTCCACTCACTTTATGCAGATAGAGAGGCAGATTTCATGTGAGCATTACATGCAGGAAAACACCAACTGATTATTTCTGATTTATAATGAATAATCCAAATAAGCCTGCAGAACATTTAGACATGCACATTTCTTAAGGATTGTTACCTTACTATGAAAACTAATACTACCTAGGAAATTAGTTTACGACCAGTCTTACTTACATGTACTTGGCAGAAGTAAAACCCATCACTCGTACTGTTTTGGTGGTTGTACTATTTTTCCTGTCTGCATGTTCCTATCTATATGTTTTTAAAAAGCAATACTAAAGATAGGATGACTACAAGAACTGCAAAGAGCTTTGAGCTATTCTCCTCTAGGCTGCCCATCCACATCCAGCCAACACAGGCGATGACTCCACTGATAATATCTCCAGCCACCTGATAGCCTCACAGCAGCCTGCCAGTGCTTTCATTACAGCCCCAGGAGGGCACACAGCATCATCCAAACAACATCAAGTCTGGCAACACTAGACAGTTTGCTCAAGGGAGTACCCATGGACTCCAGAAGTCAGAAGGAACAAAATACTCACTCAGTCTTAATGATGATCCCAGTGAGAGTGGATGTTTCTCCCCTGCCCCCTCTTCCTTCCAGGTAGAATTTTGAAATATTTTTTGGCCCACAGCAGTGCAAAACTGTAAAATGTTTTGCTGATAAGGGCTACCACACAGTAACAAAACGTTAAAAAACAAAAAACCTAATTAAAGCATGAAAGAGTTATGTGACTAATTTTTCAAGGGATACTATTGTAATCTACTTTTCACACCACATTTTCCTCACTGCCAGTCTAACATACTCCAGATAGAGAAATAGGTTTAAAAAAAAAATAATAAAAAAAAAAACAAGTCTCTTCCTTCTGAGCCTAAGTAAATGTTTGCAGTGCATCAAAAAGAAGAGAATCCAGCTCCTTCACACACAGACATTTCTGTTATGCAGGGCAGAAAAGGGTGAAAACAGACATTTATTAAAAAAAGAAAAAAGAAAACCACACTTGCACAATCCCCACATCCTTGCCAATTATTACCTGAAGAGCACTGTCAGCATCTCACTCCTACAGGCAGTTTACCACACTATCAGCAGCTAATACACATCAGTGCACATCCACACAAAGCAGCAAATTAAAGCCAAATCCATGTCTTCAAAGAAGAGAATAGATATAGATAGATAGATATGAACCTAACAATCCATGAAGTCCAACTCTTACATTAAAAAGACGCTATTCTCCCATGGCTATTTTCCTGACAATAGCCACGCTTGAAGTAATCCAGACTCTGCAGCAGCAAAAAGCAATAACACTTGAAAACCAACTGTGCTAACAGATCTCTGTAACACACAAGGAGCAAAGTAGTAGCCTGTAAATGTGTGGATAAGATGGCCTATAAACCTTAAACTAAAACTTCCTAAATAAATAAATGCTGAGGCACAAATGGTAAAAAGAGGATGTTTGGCTCTTATTGATATTTTTTCTTTTATTTTCTACTATGACTATTTCCTGAGAAGCGTAATCATACTGAACTGGAACTGAACCACAGTGAGTTTCATCTCCCTTCTGTCTGATCTGGCTTCTCCAACTGCCCACAAAGCATCTTGACTAATGCAAACAAAGTGTCTGTAAGAAAACTCATTGGCACAAGAGCCCATGTGCATCACAGAAATTAACCCATCAAGGAGTCTTTACTGACTCTGGATTTTTGATATTAAGACAGAAAGAGAAGAAATACAAAGTTGAAGAACTTACACAAGAACAACTATTTCTTGAATTTATCATACGCATTTAACAAACCAATTCAGGGTCATATTTAGACTGACCTTGTGTTTTGATAAATTATTTGTGAACTTGATAGGCAAAATTGGAAGTTGCATAACAACATGCTCATATTTAGTCTTGTAAAACAAAATCTACTGCATGAATCCCCATGTAAACATCCTCCAATACTGCTCAGCTGAAATGTAAATTGAGGCAACAGTAAGTAGAAATGACCTTCTTGCTGTGCAATTAAAATATTTCAAGGACAGCTTATAATTGTCATGTAGTATTTATGTCACATCAAAAGAGCTTCGGAGCTTTAGCATAAAACTATAGAATAAAAATATTTTTGTATCATTAGCATCCAGCTAATTTCATTCTAACAAGTGAAACACATCTAAACTATATGGCCTTTCACATGCCTGAGAAATTATTTAACTATACTCCATGCTGAACTGACGATTACCCAACAGAAAAAAAAAAAAAAAAACCCTATGTAGTTTGATCTATTTGATTTAAATATTGAAACATGTTACTGGTGTGACAGGAGGGAGGAGACAGGAAAAATAGTGCATTAACCTGCACTCAGTTAACTCTCATTAATATTAAGTTGATATTTACTTACTACTAAAATCCCTCTAGAATTGCACCAGAAAGAAAGAAACCTGTAG